CAGCTCCGGCACAGGGTGGCCCAGCTCATGGCCTGCGTGGAGGACATCAGCTCCGACGACGAGATCCACGAGGAGGTGTCCCGCACTCTGGATGAAGCTTTCCTCATCTGGGGCAAAAAGATGAAGGATAAGGGGCAGGAATTCAGGTTTTGCAGTTGGTTGTTTTTGTAGCAGTGACGGGGCTGGCAAATAGAGCTTCTGTCACTTTGCATCAACTCAAGAATGTTCTTAGAGTTGGTTGCCTGTCCACATTTCAATTTTAGCATTGGTTTTGTGTGGTTTCTGTTTGTTTCTAGATTACATTTAGTTACCTGGAATGTGGGCACAGCTTCTCCCCCTCCTGATGTCACAAGTTTGCTTCAGCTCAACTCGCTGGGCCCCACCACGGACATGTACGTTATAGGGTGAGTGATATGAGAGAACTTGCTTTGTGAGTTTATTGCAAAACTGCTGGGTCTCAGCATGCTCTGTTTTGGACTGTGTGGTGTGAATCACTGCCTGGGAGATGGTTTAACACTGCTGCAACCAGAGGGTGAAGACTAACTTAGTCTAACTAACAGGAGACTAACTTAGAGCAGAGATGATTTATAGCAGTTGCTATTATTTGCTATGATCTATAGCTATAGATTTATAGCTGCTGCTGTGTAGTGATAGAATGCAGAACATCTTTTCTAAACACACAAAAAGTTGGGACTGCTGGCTTTTTGTTAGCTTGTTCATTTTGATATGAAAGTTGTTGGAAATTCAGCATGTTTTAAGGGAATTAGTGCAATCTTGTTAGGCACAATCTGCCCCTGTGTTTTCCAAACAATGTTGAAATTCTGAAGTCCTGACAATCGGGTTTTTATAACACACCTTGAGTCTGGCATTGTCTTAAACTCCATCTTCAGGTGTATATAACCTCCTTTAATTTCGTTTTACTCAGTGTCAGATTTGTTAGACCTGTGTGTAGGTTAAACTGCTTGAATGAGAAACTGAACTGCGAGAATTTTCTGGGGTCTGTGTTCTGCAAAGTTCCTATGAATTCTGTCCAAACCAACTGGTGCAATGTGAGTAATTGTGATGTATTCAGCTTACAGGAGGTGAATTCAAAAATCACAAAATTTCTGTCTGACTTGGCATTTGATGATCCATGGAGCATTTTTTTCATGACTGTCTTGTCTCCCTTGGGATATGTCAAGGTAATTATTTACATCACTCTTAAATGTCACAGCATTGAAGTAAAA